TAGTAGTTGATAGATGGTCATGGGGATGGGGAGCACGGCATAGGGAATGCAGTCAGCATTAATGTATTGGCTAGGTGGAGAGACAGAGGAGAGAAAGCAATTAGGGGAATCATTTTATAACCTATATAAATGTCTAATCAATGTACTGTATACTTGAAACTAATTAAAATAAATAAATAAATTTTAGAAAATGTCCCAAAGGCTACAGATCAAGGTCCCCCAACCCCATTTCATTTATATTTTCGTGGACATTTGACTTTAAGTGCAAAAATCGGGAACTGATACGTGCAATCTTAAGATAGTTTAATCCAAAAATTGAGTTTTATTTAATTAGGATGAGCAGAGAATAGTATTTTAATTAAGATGAGCAGAGAATAGTACTTTCTTAAAAGTTTGGTGTGTGTTTTTGTTTCTTTTAAAATAATTCTAAATTATTTCCACTTATACTAGGACAAATTATAGCCTGTTCTTTGTACTGTATGTGAGATTCAACCTTAAACCTTCAAAATGATTAAGGATACCAATACTCCCTAACTTATTTTAGGTTTTTGTGTATTTACAATCTAATCAGGATATAGTATCCATTGATAAGAAACATATTATATAATACAGGTACCACCCGCTTTTCAAAAGTTTATGCTATACCACTTTGCTTTTATGAAAGATCTACATTAGTACCTGTCTTCATTTATTGAAAGAAATCCAAGGAAGATGTTTGTTTTTATGTAAATAGGCAAAAAACAAAAACAGCATTTGGTGTTTGTTTTGCCGTGAGCCGTTTTAGAGGCAGTGCACACCCCAAGCAGTGATAGTGGCATTGCTTTTACTATATGTTGGTATTATTTTAGATTTTATGTGTTATTTAGTATGATTTGGTAGGTTATTTTTTGGGTCTGGAGAATGCTCAAATATTCCATATACATTAATAGTAATTACATCTTTGCTTTATGCCATTTCAGCTTATGAAATGTTTCATAGGAATGCTCTACCTTTGAATAGTCAGGGGAAAAACTTATTATTTTTATTGGCCTTAATTTGAGGGTGGTGGACATCATAATTTTTTTATTGCCCTTAGTCCTTTTTCTAGGGGGAGGGGGGGCATAAACTTGATAGAAAATCATTGATAGAAACTATTTTTTCTTCTGATTTGTTTATACTTTCCATCTACAAATATGCCTCCTCTGTGTAAGGATTTAAGAAGATCATCTAGCTCCTCAAATGAAGGAATGTGGTTCCTTCAGAGAGGGATTATTTTGATTCCTCTCAACCCATTATACAGATTGGCTGCAAATACAGAAATATGCATGAAATAGCCTTACTATAAATTACATTCAGTCCCAGAGCACCACTTCCCAGCATGCAAAGCTGATTTTAAGCTGAATTTGATGCTCCCCACTGTGCCTCATTTTTCACCTTTCCAGCTTTCTCTTTCATCCCTAGAGGGCATCCCCTGAGTCAGAAGAGACACTCATCAGGAACCGCTTAGGAAGTTACTGCTTCATTAGAAATCCATAGGAGTATCTGCCAAGAAGATTCTTGGAACAAACGTGCTTACTCTAAAAAAAATGTAACTTAATGAGAGAGTGTTAGTTATAGTGGGGGAGACAATCTGAGGCTGGAAGAGTACCCATCACCATTCAGAATATACCACATCTGCTTTGCCTTTAGGTAGTAAGACCAGCCCTGACCATCACAGCTGGATATCATAGTATCGGAGATTTCTGTGAAGTTTCTAAACTTCGCTGGAATTCAGCAATGTTATAACATGACCCCATGAAAATGTCACTGGTTTTGAAGTGTTAAAAATAAAAGCAGATGCTTCCCTGCATGTCGAACATCCTTCCTGTGTAACGCTGAGGCTTGGATGTTTCTGCTATCAACTGCCACCAGGAATTCTTGGCCTTGCAGTGGCAATTCCACTGGTGACAGCAGTGATAAATAATGATGCAGTTCAAGTACTTTATCTGGGCCTCATATGACTCAAATTATACCACAGAAGGCTTGAATTTTCCACTTGACGATCACTCGACTAGCTCTTTATTTAAATAGGATAAAAACGACTTGGATTTTTTCGTTGTTATTGTTATATTCTCTGACCATTTATCTTAATATATTTATTAAATTCTAAATGCAATGTCACCTTAGATATATTTTCTAAACCTTAAAAGCAACTTCAAACAACATATCTTTTAAAATTCAGGTTCTATAATTAAACCAAACCTTACCCGTGCTAGGCAGTCACTTGATTGAAAGTCTGTCTTCCCAGATTTTGAGAAGCGGCGTTTATCATTGCCTGTGGGCAGAAGAGCATCTGTCTTTGGAACTCTATGCTCTGTCTCTTTGTCCACTTCTGACTTGTCTAGATGGGTGCCAGCCACCTCCTTGACAGAATCTGGGCCATTTTCTAGTTCGAAGGCATGACCATTTCCAAGTTCAGGGTCTGGGCCATTGTCTAGCTCAGAGATGGAGTCATTGTCCAACTCACAGCCAGTGTTGTTCTTGGATTCCTCAGTGGCCTTGTGTGTAGAAGGCCTGGAAATGACCCCAAACTTTCTTGCTCTTTTCCCCTTTTTCACAGTTCGGTCACCCAGCTCCAAGGTCGGCGCCTCTCCTGGTTCAGAGCTGTTGCTACTGTTGCCATTATAAGGAGAATGGACTTTGTGCTTGAAGCGACGCAGCATGATCAGGTAGATAAAGCCGCCATTCCAGCACTGCTCAGCCAGGTAACTGCAACAAGCAGAGAGGTACAATTAAAACCCTCGAACAGCCTTCTTGAGCAATGCAGCGGGCTGGCGCATTCAACGGCCCACATGGGACCAATGTGATTAAAAATCTGGTCAACAAATTGAGGTAGTGAGCTTCCTGGAGAGGCTCAACACTCAATCTATTCTTTTAATCTATATAATTGTTGATGCTAAAAATGACCCCAAAACAAACCGGAAAAACCCAATGAACTAGAAATTACTAATGAAAGTACCTTAGGATAGGTAGTCAGATAAGGATTTTCTGAGCCAATCTTAACATATCATTAAAAAAAAAAAAAGAATCCTCCACTCAACAATTTCTTGCATCGGAATTATGTTAGCCTCTCTCTCATTCATACAGTTCTGGTGTAAAAACACGAACGTTCCCAGGGTAAAGAATGCACAAAAGAGATTGGAGAAAATGTAAAGTTCTGCTCTTAGGATCAAAAAATCACCTTCCCAGGAACAGACATCTCTGCCTCACAGTTAAAGTAGATAAAGACGCTGAATGAGGGTGGAGGAGTGTTGGCTGCTATTAAGTCACAACTGGTAATAAGTGCTGGCATGCATATGCTGCACTACATGAGTATCAGGTTCACTTCTTGGTAATAGTTCTGGTTGAAGTTGTTCATAGCACACATGGGGTGTCATTTCTAGTCTGGGTATCACGTGAAGAGGGACATTGAAAAAGTGGAAAACACACAGACACAGGGTGACCAGGACAAAGAAGGCTGCTGGAAACTGTCAACCAGGAATAGTAGAAAGAAAGAGGGATACTTAGCTTGAAGAAGACAAGGGCTCAGTTGTTTTTCATGTATTTCAGGGCTGTCAAACACTTAGAAGCAGGAAATAATATAGATGACATAGTGCACGTGAAGCCCAACACATAATACTACGCCAGATTTTAAAGAATAACAAGAAAATAGAACATCAAATGAGTAATTAGCAGTGATCATGCCAGATCGTTAACGCTTTAGCAAAGAAAACACGTGCTCAAAGTCAGGAAACCAGGCTGGGCTGGACCCTCCGCTCGTGCCACCCAAGATAAGGAACCCTAGATGAACCCAGAGAAATGCATTCGCCAGTGGAATCTTGCCATATTCTACATATCGCTTGTTCCCAAGCAAAGAATGTCAACAACCAAGCCCTTAACGAGTCAGACCCACTTCCGGTCTTCATGCTCCCATGAAGAAAATGCCTTCATCTTCGACAACTGAAAAACAGAGAAGTTTTCCAAGTATAACCCACCTAGTTGCTCCCCCTTCTGGCCTGAAAATCAGAACTGAAAGCTGGTGCAGTCAGTATGTGGGAAGGGGACTGGGCTCTAAGGAGAGGTGACCAGCTGTGTTTGAAATGTATTAAGTTTTGACCCCAAGGCATACATTCCCCATACCTAATGATCAGGTAATACAATGACAGTGACTGCCAAGAAGAAGAGAATAATTTTGAGTTTTCCGTGGAGTAAAGTCAACAAGACAGAAGGGTCATCAAACATCAACCAAAGCTAATAAAAACCATGGTAATGAACTTACACATAAAACCCAGGTAGATAAAAGATATCGCACAAGACTCAGAGTGTTCTGTGAAATACAGTGGGATGAAGAGGTATAAAGACCAGTCCACTGGAGTCTAGAAAATGAAAATTCAATCTGGTTTTTGGCATAAATTTTCTACAACGTTTAGATTTTATTTCTTCGAATTGTCATGTTTTCTTTCCCCCACAGTAGAAAAATTTTTGTAAAGATATAAAATCCTGACAGTGGTTAGCGGGTTGTAAGGGTTTCTTTGAGGAAACCACTGCTGTGAATACGCTGCATAAACTCCAGTGATATGAAAAGCAGTGTGGGTAGGTAACACCAGGACCAGATGAGAGTTATAGACACCGGAAGTCCTAGCTTTGGCTCGCCCGTGTAGAACAATGGTAACTTCCTCAAATTTCCATCAACTGATGAATGTACAGACAAAATGTGGTATATCCAAATAATGGGATATTATTTGGCAAGAAAAAGGAAGCAGTATATGCTACAACTTGGGTGAAGTTTGAAAATATTATGCTAAGTTAAAGATGCCAGACAGCCCAAGGCCACATAGGATTCCACTTTCAGGACATGTCTAGAATAGGCAAATCCGTAGAGATGGAGAGTGGATTAGAGGCTGCCAGGAGCTAGGCGGAGGGGAGAGGTGGGACTCAGTGCTCATAGATGCAAGGTGTTTTGGAGGGTGATGGAAATGTTCTGGAATTAGACAGTGGTAATGATTGCATGACAGTAAATATACCCATTTTAAAATGGTGGATTATATGTTATGTGAATTGTGTCTCCATATTAAAAAAATGATAGCCAATAAAATAATACTGGTCAAGGTCTGAGTTCAGTTGTGAGTGGGTAATCCCTAAGCTCTTTAGGGAAGAAGAAACCGAGGCTCAGAAAGATCGATTCACTTGCCCCGGTTCACGTAACTGCTACATGGGAGACTCAGGTGTGTCTGATTCCCCAGCCCATGCTACACTCACTGTGTGATTCGACTTCTTCAGTCATTACCTTTCCGGTGCTGCAGTTCTCTCATCTGTGAAATGAGATATTAAAATGGGTCCTCTCTAAGGTGCTTTCACATCTAATAGTTGTGGATGCTACTTTCCCAGGGAGAGTTCTAGGGATTAGAAGAGCAAGCCATCCCAACAACAGTGATCCAGTGCCAAGGACAACGCACAACCCTGGAAAAATAGAAACATTCCTTTTATGTCCATGTCATCCTGGGCCTCTTAGATGGTTTCCGACTATCTGAAAAAATGTTCACCTAGAGGGGCAATTCCTTTAAAATTCCTTTGGGGACTCTACCCTCTGTACTAAAACTCTGAACAGCCTGACAGGTTGTATGCAGAGACCTTCTTTTCAGTACCAAAAAGGCTGACCACGGACTCGGAATACAAGATCCTGAATATCTTCCCCATCTCTACATCATGGAAGCTCCAAGAACCGTGGAAGGTCCCATGACTGAAGGCACTTTATTCTTTCTGCAGTCCACACTCAAGAATTACACAGCAAGAGGCATTTATCTTTAGTTTGGCACTATCTCCCTGTCCTCCCTTGGCTTCCTAGCAATAAATAAGACCCTGACACCTTCAGGGAACTGTATGACAGGTTATTTTATTCCTTCCTCAACATAAACTTTTCTAAGGTCATCCGAAAGACAAAGCGTAATGAATGAATTATGGACACTATAGCAAGTTGGTGAGAAAGAGACTTTTAGGCAGAGGGTAATCTTCTTATAATTCTTTGAGTCATCTTAAATGTAATGTCCCAACATTTCCTATCCATCTGTATTGAAGTAACTTTCCTAACTTTTCAGCACCTTCCTGGCTAATTCATATTTCCAAATCACCTTTTCTGTTCAGTAGGATTGTTACCCACCAATAGAATCTGTAAATTTCAAAGTTAACATATGAGAAGAACAAATGGAGTAAAATCACACAGCTTAAAAAAAACAGAAGGTCCTGTTCATTAACAATGGGTAAACTTAGTCTTTTAGAAGTTTTTCTACCATATGATTATTCTTTGGTTTCTTCCAAAAATTTGAACCTGTCCTCTGGCATGTAAAATTATTAATTCAATTAAAATTTATTGGATTTTGACCACCCCAGGATGGCCCTAAGATAAACGAGGAAAGGCCAGCATATCCAGAAATGAGATTCCAAATTCTAGCTTAGAGCCCTCCCTCTGAAATATGTGTGTTTTTCATTTCACTTGGCCTTTGCAGGCATTTTTCCCCTAAATAGACCCCTTCCTTCCTTTCCCTCAAAAAGTGCTTTATACAAAGAAAGTTTGGAGTGCCTCCTCTGTTTTTCGATGCTCTGTCATAATTCTGGAGTTTGGACTTTCTGGGAGTGGGACGCCTGGGAGGGGGTTGGCAGGTGAGGTTGGGTGCTTGGAAATGCTGAAGGCTAGTGTTTGAAGAACAAGAAGGACTGGGAGGTAAGAGATAAGAGAGGGGGCAAAGACAGGGAGGTGTTGGAAGGCCAAAGACATGCATTATTTATCCATGTCCTGATTCCATCAAAAGAAGACTTGAGGCAACTGTACAAGTTTGCCAAAGCCCTTGGGAGGGGCAATATCCAGGTGCCTCTGAAAATCACCTTGGGCATTCAGTCATCGATTACTGATGGCTGGCACACAGTATGAACCACACAGTGGTGCTGCCAAGCTGAACCATGGGTGTATATCTGTGTGTAGCTGAGAGTAACTCCAATCACTACCATGGGGCACTAGCCTATACTGCAATGCCATAAAAACACTGTAGAACTCAGAACGCATAAAAGAATTCTGGAACTCAGACTTTTTACCAAACAGGCATTCTTACTTCATCTGAGTATGTCAGGTCCCTAGTAGACAACAGGAAGAAGTTGTTTGTAGACAAATTATTATAACAGAGTCTGAATTTTATGGAATGCGACCAGCTGCTAATAGCTACCCTAACACACATACATACACAGACACACAGACACACAGACACACAGACACACACACACACACACACACACACACACACAATGACAAATGGAGGTTGATTTTTCTCTCCTGTGATTTCCTCTTGCCTAAGAAGTAATGGGAGGCTGAAAAGCTGTTTGCGGTCCTTTGAAAACCTCCTAAGCCTAATTAATCCAGAGGGCTGTCTGAGGTTGTGAAAACTTTGTTTCCCAGAGAACAATGGGTTGAGAGGAAGTGTTAAATATATATAGGTTAATTTCCCAGTAGCCTTGGCTGGGAAACAGAGGAAGGCAAGTATGGACAGCTCCAAAGAGGGGATGGGAAGATGGTAATAATTATTTCCTGGAGTTATTTAGTAACCAGGTTCCCCAAGGGCAGTCTCTTTCTCAGGTGCGGCCTCCTAGCTACCCTGAATTTTGGGAAAACTTCTACCAGATTCCATACCCTCCCTAGAAAGATCCAAATTTTCTTTGCAGGGGCTCTGAAGGTGGAATTTTTG